ATTTTAATAATGTTGATTCTAACAATCCATGAACACAGTATATTTTTCCACTTGTTTATATCTTCCTCTATAGGTCCTGTAGATTTCCTAGTACAAGTCTTTTACGTCCTTGGTTAAAGTTTATTCCTAAGTATTAATTTTTTGGTTACAATGGTAAATGGTTTTTGTTTTTTTGTTTTTTTTAGTATATTTTTGAGAATTCATTATTGGTGTATCAAAAAGCCATCGATTTTTGGTTAATTTTGTATCCTGCTATTTAGCCTTATTTATTTATTAAATATAGTATTTTTCTGGTGGAGACTTTAGGCTTTTCTATGTACAATACCATGTCATCTGTGAATAATGAGAGCTTTACTTCCTCCTTTTATTTCTTCTCGGATGCCTTTTATTTTTTGTCTGATCACTGTGTCTAGGACTTCCAGTACTGTATTGAATAAGAGCTGGTGAGAGGGGACATGCCCTGTCTTATTCCTGTTCTTAGGGGAAATGCTTTTAGTTTTTGCCCATTGTGGATAATGTTCTCTGTACATTTGTCATATATAGCCTTTATTATGTTGATATATGCTCCCTGTATTCCCACCTTGCTGTGAGGGTGTTGGATTTCTGCCAAATGCTTTTTCCTGTGTCTATTGACCAAGTTAACTATTCCAAAATGAAAATCATCCCCATTTCTCTTCCATATGAGTTGGAATATTTATGAATTTAAGTTACCATAGTTTTCTTTACAAACCCAGAGATGCCACTAACAAGTCTGATTTTAAAATTGGGTGGCCAGGGTTGATATGTGAGGTCTGTGGCTATCGATGCATGTGGCATGTGGGAGAGGTCCACTGATTGCATTTGTAGATGCTTATGGCATACACAGGGTTGATATGATCATGTGATATTTGTCTTTCAGTTTGTTTATCTGATGTATCACATTTATTGGTTTGCAAAAATTGTTCCAGCCTTGTGTTCCTGGAATAAATCCCACGTGGTCATGGGGTGTAATATGTTTAATATATTGCTGGATCTGATTTACTAATTATTTTATTGAGGATTTAGCATCCATGTTCATTGGGGATATTAGCCTGTTAGTCTTCTTTTTTTTTTTTTTTTTTTTGTAGTGTCTTTATCTGGCTTTAGAATAAGGATAGTGCTGGCCTCATAAAAAGAGCTTGGAAATGTTCCTTCCTCTTGGATTTTCTGAAATAGTTTGAGTATAGGTTTCTTTTTTTCTTTTTCTTTTTAATATATTTTAATGACTTTTTTACAGAGAGGAAGAGAGAGGGACAGAGAGCTAGAAACATCGATGAGAGAGAAACATCCATCAGCTGCCTCCTGCAGCCCCCTACTGGGGATGTGCCCGCAACCAAGATTCATGCCTTGACTGGAATCGAATCCGGGATTTTCAGTGCACATGCTAATGCTCTCTCCACTGAGCCAAACCGGTTTTGGCAGGTGTTTCTTCTTTGAATGCTTGGTAAAACTCCTCTGTGAAGCCATCTGGACCCAGGCTTTTGTTTGCTGAGAGTTTTTTTGATTATTGCTTCTATTACATAAATTGTTATTGGCCTATTCCAATTTTCTGCTTCTTCCTGATTCGGTTTTGGGAGATTGTGTTTTTTCAGGAATTTGTCCCTTTCATCCTCATTGTCCACCTTGTTGGAATATAGTTGTTCCGAGTATTTTCTTACAACCTTTGTATTTCTGTGGTGTCACTGGTTACTTCTCCACTTTCATTTCTGATTTTATAGATTTGAGTCCTCTCTCTTTGTTTCTTGATAAATCTGGCTAATGGTCCATCAATCTTGTTAATCCTTTCAAAGAACCAGCTCTTGGTTACATTGATTTTTTAAAAATATATATTTTTAGTCTCTGTGTCACTTATTTCTACTCTAATCTTTATTATTTCCTTCCTTCTGCTTACTCTGGACTTTTCTTGTTCTCTTTCTAGTTCTTTAAGTTGTGGGGTTGAATAATTTATTATTAATTTTTCTTGTTTTCTGAGGTAGTGCTATGAACATCCTTCTCGGGACTGCTTTTGCTGAGTGCCAGAGATTTGGAGTTATTGAGTGTTCATTTTCATTTGTTTCCAGGAAGTTTTCTATTTCTTATTTTTATTGATCTCAGAGAATAAGAGAGAGATAGAAACATCAATGATGAGAGAGAACCACTAATTGGTTGCCTCCTGCATGCCCCCTAGTAGGGACCAAGCCCGCCCGCAACCCAGGCATGTGCTCTTGACTGGGATCGAACCCAGGACCCTTCAGTCCGCAGGCTGACACTCTATCCACTGAGCCAAACCCACTAGGGCTGCCTGGGCAGCTCTTTATTCACCATCTATTTTGAGTGATAGCCTTGCTGGATATAGTAATTGTGGTTTCAGAACCTTGCTTTTTATTACCTTGAGTACTTCATGCCTACCTGACATTAAGAAACAGCCCCACAGTCCCACTCAGCAACCACAATATCTTCTTGGTTTTTTGGTGTTGAGGAGGTCACAATTTCCTTATTGACAAATTCACTTTAGCCTATTTGTATCACAGAAGTTCTAGGTTACTTAAATTGCCATACAATTGGCACTCCTTCCTATTAGTGATTTTGGAGTCTCCTTCACTGTAGAGCTTTTAGTGATGTTTTTGTTTTTTTTTTCATGCCTCCTGGAGTTAATTATGAAGGTCCATTAGCTTCTGATGCAAGAACCTGCCCTAGGCCACACACTATATGCCATTAGAACTATAATCATCATTATGTATTAGGCACTCTTGTAATAGAGGCGCTCATAAAGACTGAGCATGTGATCCTAAACTGAGCTGGCCATTGTCCCATTAGGCGACGAAAGCACACCAGGTACAGACACCTACTGACATCTTGGTTCTGTGACTTATGCCACCTGCAGGATGGTTGCCCCTTCTATATTCGGTCTATTGAAGGAGACTATGGTATTGTGATTCACTGATTGGACACCTGGGACTTGGACATGCTTTCAGGATGAGATGCACATAAGTAAAGGATGGATCTTAGTGGAGAGTTGTTGTTCTTTATCCCTTAATTGGTTCATTTCTGATAGAGAACCAAACCCCAAGAGTCACCACCGTTAACCAAGCATCAGGCAGCCAGTCACCTTACTGTTGGTCCACAGTTGGCCCCATCTGCATGTGTTCACAAACATTTGGACTGTTGTCTAAGAGTTGCCTATTTGTGGTAACAAAACTCTGGGAATGTCTTTAATCAGATATCCGAAATATAAAGCCTAGGTAACACTTGTCTGTCCATTATCAAGTCTACACTATCAGGACTCACTGGGAAACTGCTGATCCATGTTGGAGTTTCAGACGTTCATAGTAATCATGGCATTTCTGAGAATGTACAATCCTAGGGTTTCCAACAATGTGTTTCGTCACAATTTCACCTCCCTTACTGGTCTCAGGCTCATAGAGCACCATGCTAGGTTGTTGAAATAAGTTTAAATCAGTTGAATGATTCATGGTGTGTTTCATCCACGTCGGTCATCAGGGATGAATTGTAACAAATCTGTCCTTTCCCCTAATGTAAGGTGACCAGACTTCCCACTTTTGGTGAGACAGTCCCGATTTTTAACAATTTATCCGGCATCCCTGCAGCGTTTTAAAAAGTCCTGATTTTTGGTTCCCAAAAATCGGGACTTTTTTAAAAACACTGAGGGACAAATCGTTAAAAATAGGGACTGTCCTGCCAAAAGCAGGATGTCTGGTCACCTTACCCTAGTGTACTTTTTAAAAATGCAGTTCTAGGTTCATAGAAAAGGTGATCAGAACATACAGAGAGATGTGTGATGAATATTAAACAAGTCAAAAGCAATACTTCCCAACAAGAACGTTTTCACTCTGCCAGCAGCGTTGACTACTAAAGCCCTGGAGCACTTTACAGCCAGCTGGACCTTATTGAAAGTTGTATTTCCACAGCTTTCATGCACTTTCATGTGTGGTGATGGGGATGGAAGGAAAAGAGTCTGCTTCTTCATTTTGTTTTTATTGATTAAACTCTGCCTCTTGGAGAACTGTATCAGGAAGGGGAATGAAAGTTTCTCTCACAAACAATTGATGGTCTTAAAATGACAATATTTGGTGTGGCTTAGTGGTTACGTGTCAATCTATGAACCAGGAGGTCACAGTTCCATCCCAGTCAAGGTACATGGGCTCATGTCTGGCTTGTGGCCTCGATCCCCTGTGGGGGGCGTTTAGGTGGCAACTGATCGGGCATGTTATTTCTCAACTTGCTGTGCACTCTGCTGTTACAGGGAAATAACATACTATCTAATAGAGGGAATATGCTAATTGACTGCTACACCTTCAAAGATGAAGGCACCCAGTCCCCTCAGCCCCGCCAGGTGCCCAGGGCCAGTTCGAGGCTCAGATAACAAGGGCCGGCTGAGGCTTGCGCTGCCGGCAGTGGCAGCAGCAGAGGTGTGATGGAGCATCGCCTTCCCCGGATTGCCTGGTCACCTCCTGGACTGAGAGGGGAGGACAGAGAGGGTTGAGGGGACCCCTCCCTCCAGTGCATGAATTTTCATGAACCAGGCCTCTGGTGTAATGTTATAATATAATAGTAAAGGTGCACAAATAATTTCCAAGAAGTAAGTGTGGGCAAGGGAGTAAGTTTATGGTGATCAGTCATAGAGTAAATGTTTGGAGACAACAGAATCCTATGTAACCTTCCTATAAATGGAGTCTGGGCCGAACCAGTTTGGCTCAGTGGATAGAGTGTCAGCCTGCGGACTGAGGGGTCCCAGGTTTGATTCCGGTCAAGGGCATGTACCTTGGTTACAGGCACATCCCCAGTGGGAAGCATGCAAGAGGCAGCAGATAGATGATTCTCTCTCATCAATGTTTCTAACTCTTTATCCCTCTCCCTTCCTCTCTGTGAAAAAATAAAACAAAAAATAAATAAATAAATAAATAAATAAATAAATAAATAAATAAATAAATAAAGTCTGTGTATCCAGGGCTGTCGTTCTGACACATCCTACTTTTATACATATCTGGAATGTTTTAGGACTCGGTGGCCATTGAGGATGTGGTTGTGACCTTCACCGTAGAAGAGTGGGCCTTACTGGATTCTTCGCAAAAGAAACTTTACAGAAATGTAATGCGACAAACTTTCAAGAACCTGGCCTCAATAGGTAAGGATGTGTACTTTCGTTTCATCAATTAGGTAAGTGTTTCTTAGTCATTGCTTTTTTTCCCTCCAAGGTTTGAATTGTGAAAAGATTGGACCCATAATCTAATATTTCTCTAATATAAGTATTTTGGATTTGTTTTGTTTTGTTTGCATTTCAGGGAAAAAATGGGATGATCGTGATATTGAAGAACTGTATAAAAACCAGGGGAGAAAACTAAGGTGTGTCTTATTTATATTAGAAAGTACTGGCTGATTTGAAGATTTGATTATGTTATGAAATTTTGAAAAAAGGAAATAAAAGAAATAGTCCCTGCTTCAATTTTTTAAAAATTTAATAAATCATTGTTCAGATTATTACAATTGTTTCTCCCTCTCCCCCCCGCCATAGCTCCCCTCCACCTGGTTCCCACCCTCCCTTCTGTCGTGTCGTCGTCCCCGTCCCCGTCCCCGTCCCCGTCCCCCCCCCCCCACCCGCCATCCATAGGTTTATGATTTTTGTCCATTCTCTTCCCGTACCCCACACACAGACACCTCTTTACCCCTGAGAATTATCAATCCCCTCCCATTCTATGCCCCTGATTCTATTATATTCACCAGTTTATTCTGTTCCTCAGACTTTTAATTCACTTGACATTTAGATTCACTTGTAGATAGATATGTATTGTTCATAATTTTTATCTTTACTTTTTCTTCTTTTTTCTCTTTTTAAAGAATATCTTTCAGCATTTCATATAATACTGGTTTGGTGGTGATGAACTCCTTTATTTTTTTCTTACCTGTGAAGCTCTTTATCTGACCTTCAGTTCTGAATGATAACTTTGCTGGGTAGAGTAATCTTGGTTGTAGGTTCTCCCATTCATCACTTTGACTATTTCTTGCCACTCCCGTCTGGCCTGCATAGTTTATGTTGAGAAATCAGCTGATTATCATATGGGTGCTCCCTTGTAAGCTGCTGTTTTTCTCTTGCTGTTTGTAAGACTCTTTGTCTTTTGCTCTTGGCATTTTAATTATGATGTGTCTTGGTATGGTCCTCTTTGGATTCCCTTTGTTTGGGGTTCTGTGCACTTCCTGGACTTATAAGTCTATTTCTTTCACCAGGTGGGGGAGGTTTTCTGTCATTATTTCTTCAAATAGGTTTCCAGTGTCTTGCACTCTCTTCTTCTGGGACCCCCATAATTCTGATGTTGGTATGTTTGAAGTTGTCCCAGAGGCTTACACTGTCTTGAACTTTCTGGATTCTCTTCTCTTCTTGCTTCTCCGGAGGAGTGTCCTGTGCTTCTGTATTCCAAATCTTTGACAGGATTCTTGCGTTCTTCTAGTCTGCTGTTGGGACTCTGTATAATATTTTTTATTTCAGTAGCTTTGTGTGCTGGGTGTCCCATATGAATCAATCGGGTCAGCCTCCCAGTTACCTGATGTGGGCACTCTTGGTGCACCCCTTTGTGGACTGTGTGTACAGCCTTGTTGTAGTTAAGTCTTGATTGTTGTTGGTGTCACTGGGAGGAATTGACCTCCAGGCCACTTGGCTGTGGGGACCTGCTGTCTATAATGGAAAAATTACTGTGCTGGAGACACGTTTATGGGGCAGGACTTGTTCCAGTAGGGCTTTGGTGCTCACTGAGTCTGCCTCTTGAATGTCCCTTATGAGAGTAGTTGAAATCTGGTGTCGTCTCACACCAACCACAAGATATACTAGTTTCTGGATCTCCAATGAGGTGTAGGTCAGATACTGTCTGAGGGCACCCAGCAGTAGCTACAGCAAGAACTACAGTTTTCTCCTCTTTGCTTGGGATTTGGCGGTTTTGTAGCAGTATGATTGGAGCTGCAGTTAGTTTGGTTAAGCCTTGACCAGGCAGGCCATTTATATGCAAAAGCCGCTGTGTGGAGCCTGGACAGGTTTGTAGTATGTGCAGGGCAGGTGTCTGGCAAACAGTGATGGCTGCCTTTCTGCGTTTCCAAGTCCCAGTGTCCTGTGCTCCAGTGCAGTAAACAATGATTGCTGCGCACATCTCTCAGCTTTTCAGCATTTGTGTTCTTTTCTCTTTCCTTCTAGTTGTAAGACTTCCATTCAGCCAGCTTCCCCATGGTTCTGAGTGATAGACATTTTTGTCTTTTAGTTGTAGTTTTGAAATTGTTGTGTGATGAGGCAGTTTAGTGTTTACCTTTGCCGCCATCTTGGTTTCTCTCTCCCTGCTTCAATTTTTACTTATATTAAAAATTTTCACCAAAATTACCTTTTTATTGGACATAAATATAAGTAGCTTACTTCCAAATAGTACTGTTAAATTTTATATATGATGATTACTCTTTTAGTAATAGGAAGGGTGAAATCCTCTTGCAGAACATTGTTTCATTTTCTTAAGTAATACTTTATTGTTGAAAGTTACATGTGTCCCCCTTCTAACTCCATTGAGAACATTTCTTATATTGAACTTTAAACAAATCAGACAGAAAGTCTACCCCTTTTTAACTTATTATTATTGATTTTAGAGAGAAACATCTATCAGTTGCATCCTGCACACATTCCAACCAACTGAACCACTCTGGCCAGGGCAAAAACCCTACCCCTTTGATACAAACCATAAAGATGCAGTTCAAATACCCTAATAAGCAAAACTGTTAATAAACAAATTATTAATACTATACTTCTTGTCTTTTACAGAAATCATATGGCAAAGAGACTCTGTGAGACTAAAGAGGGTAGTCAATGTGAAGACAACTTGAATCTTATTTCAGAAAAGACTTTGAACAAGAAGAGCACTGCAGTGAAACCACATGAATGCAGTACACGTGGAAAAGTCTTTACCCACCATTCACTCCTTGATAGGCACAGCAGATGTCACATTGGACACAAACCACACGACTATGACAAATACAGAGAGAAGCCTTATGCATTCAGGACATGTAATAAAACCAGTTATCACCATTTTTTTTATAAACAAAAAAGAAATCACAGTGTAGAGAAATCTTACAAATGTAAGGACTATGGGGAATCTTTTAGGCATCACCAGTCTGTTCACAAACATGAACAGATTCACACTGGAGAGAAATGGTATCAGTGTAAACAATGTGGAAGAATCTTTAGCTCTCATCAAGCCTTCCAAAAACATAAACAAATTCACACAGGAGAGAACCCCTATGAATGTAAACCATGTGGTAAAGCTTTCAGTCGTTCCAGTTCTTATCAAAGTCATGGAAAACCTCATGCTGGAGAGAAACCTTACGAATGTAAGGAGTGTGGGAGAGCCTTCCGGTATTACTCTACCTTTCTATTACATGAGAGAACTCATACTGGAGAGAAACACTTTACATGCAAGGAATGTGGTAGAGGCTTTCGTCGTTACCGAACCTTGAAACACCACATGAGACTGCACACTGGAAAGACACCCTATGAATGTAAACAATGTGGTAAAGCCTTCAGAGGTTTGGTTTGGTTAGAGAAGCATGAAAGAAATCATACTTGAAACCCTGAATGTAAGGAATGTGAAAAGGCCTCATATCAACAAATTTTTGAAAGTGCACACTAGACTGCACACAACAGAGAAACCCTATGAAAATGAACTAAAGCCTTCAGACATTCCTCTTTAAAAGTCATTAAAGAAATTATGATAAAAATCCTATGAATGTAAGTAGTTTGATAAAGCCTACAGACCTTACAGTTTCTTAGAAACACAAGAGAATTCATGAAAGCTTAATAGAAATTAATGTTTAGTGTTCCAGACAACAGCACAGTTCCTGATAAATGTGTAGCCCTATCCGGGTTGGCCCAGTGGATAGAGGGTCAGCCTGAACACTGGAAGGTCCCAGGTTCAATTCTGGTCAGGGTCACATACCTCAGTTACAATTTCCCCTACCTTGGTCAGATGCATGCAGGAGGCAACCAATGTTTCTCCCTCCTTTCCACTATCATATTGATGCCTACTGGGATTGTTGGGTGAGTTAACCTTTTTTTTTTTTTTTAATATATTTTATTGACTTTTTACAGAGAGGAAGAGAGAGGGAAAGAAAGCTAGAAACATCGATGAGAGAGAAACATCGATCGGCTGCCTCTTGCACACTCCCTACTGGGGATGTGCCTGCAACCAAGGTACATGCCCTTGACCGGAATCGAACCCGGGACCCTTCAGTCCGCAGGCTGACGCTCTATCCACTGAGCCAAACCAGTTTCAGCGGTGAGTTGACTTTTTAAAATTTATATTTAGGGACGGAGATGGACACATTAATGATGAAAATCATTGATTGGCTACCTCCTGCACACCCCTAGAGGGGATCAAGCCCAAACCCCAGCATGGGCCTGACCAGGAATTGAAACACAACTTGATTTATAGTTCTACTGAGCCACCCAGCACACCAGTTGGGCAAAGTTTACTTCTAAATTGCAATTATGGTTAATTTGTTATATATTTGGTTTGTGCTAAGAGGCTATTGAAATCTGATTGTGGTATTGGGATTTTTTTTCCCCCCCAGAAAAGGATATATTTTTATTCAAATAACTGCAAACTAAGAAACCAGAGGGAGGGGCTCCGGCTGGGACAAACAATGGCTACCTCCCCAGCAGAACAGGGAGAAGGTGGCCCTACATTCTCTTCTGTCAGCACAGACCCTTCCCCTGCTCACTGCTGCAGCATAAGGGGCAGAGCCCCCAACTTCCCTGGGACTGGGGTACTCTATTCCCAGCCTGCTTTGCCCCTGGCTCCTTCCCAAAAGCATCTTGGAGGGAGTGTGGATGGATATTTTCGCTGGTAGTAGTAATGACAGATGTCTAATAATAAAACAAAACAACTCCACTGTCCAGGGGTAGTTTATGAATAGAGGAAAGATGGAACCAGAAAGTATGGGTAGTGGGGAGAGGGCGCAAGACTCCTTGTTAGTGCTCCATGTGAGGGGAGGGAACAAGTCTAAAGTGGAAGCAGATGGGATCAGGGGCCCACACCCCTCTTGCTCTCCCTCCTGTGCCCCAACCCAGTGCAAGGCTAGTCACCTCATGGAAGGAAAATGGGTGTGAGCTACCCCTGGTGAGGCACGGGTTCGCTGGGTTATCTTAGGGCCAGACGACCCTACCCATGGCCACAGGTGCTGCTGCCAAGGCAGTGGAATGGGCATGTCAGTGATATGGGGCTCAGTCAGGACCTTTTAAGGCCAGGGGAGCCCTCCCAGGCCCCCTAATGGTAAGCCAGACTCCCTAAACCAGGGGTTCAGTCAGCAGTGCCCCCAGGGGACAGGGGCGCAGCTAAATGGGATGTCAGCTTTGTCAGGAGGCTTGGGGGAGGGAAGAAGGGGGGGGGGGGGGATGCACCTGAGGTGATAGGGTGCTTGGAATCAAGACCAAATGAAAACTTACCCACTCGGGCTGGTGTGTGTGTGGCGGGGTGCAGGTGGGTGGTAGTGGGCGCGGAGCTGTCCAGGCTCAGAAGGAAACGGCTCGGCACAGTCACTGCCCCTCGGAGGACTGCGAGATGCCCTCTTCCTCCAGTTTTTTTTTACACCTGCCCCTTGGTTTCCCCTCTGGAGTCGCGGTGGTTTCCCAGGTCTTGGCAGCCCTCCTGATTTTGCTCCCCTTTGGTGCCCTGGGTCTCAGATGTTGGCACTTCGCTGGGCTCCTTAGGAGGATGCTTTCTCGGCCTGCTCTGCCCTCCTCAGTGCCGTCCTCTTCCTTCAAGGCCAAGGGCTGGCTGGACTTCCAACTCGCTCATCTTCCCGTCTCTGCGGAGGAGCGATGGCCGTGGTGCGCGCTCCGGCTGCTGGGAGCCACGGTGCTGGCGCTGAGCACGGCCTGGGCGCCTTCCTGGGGCCGCGCCAGCGCCAGAAATGGGCCTGGGCTCCGAGTTCCAATTAGAGGCTTAGTGGGATTTCTCTACTGGTCTTGTATCCAAATGCCTGCATTCCCAGTCTCTCCCAAAGTTCCCCTTTTGGGTGACAAGCACAAGAGCTTTATACCTATAAACAGTCGGAATAGCTACATAAGGCAAGTCTAGGCAATAATATGGTTTTATGTGAATTTTAATATTGGGAGTTTTACTTTTTCCTCACTATTTGCGTAACAGACTTTGATTTAAGAAGAGATGCCTGTGATTGGACAACAATCTAGAGCTGGGGTGTTCCCCGGTGGATAATGTTGTTGACTCGATTATGAGATTTTCAATAAGAGATACATACCGTAGGAGTTTCAAAGACCATCTTTTATATCATTTCCTGGATTTTCCACTTCCAATCAAGAGTATCCTCAGAACTTCCACCAACTCTTTTATATAACTCTATCCCTCTCTGTAAAAAATCAATAAAATATATATATTTTTTAGCCGAAACCGGTTTGGCTCAGTGGTAGAGCGTCGGATATATATATATATATATATATATATATATATATATATATATATATATATTTTAAGAGAAGTAGATTTGCACTGATATTTTCAGAACACCCACATTAGTGATTCATCAAGGTTAGCATTTTTCTGTAAACCAAAAACTGATTCAGGCTTTTATACTGGAATAATGTCTAATGCCCCTCTTTAGGTGATATACAGTCTCATTTGTAGGGGAGTCACCTTATACTGTCCACAGAGCGATTAGTGTGTTCCTGATTCCCCTTGTGACATCTATCATTGTGTAGTCACAGAGAAGTACATGGGAGTTAATTTCTCCACTGGCTGCTTTGACCTGGTCCTTTCACGTGAGAACTGTAAGCCTCTCAGTGCAAACTCCCCGGACAGGAGCTGTGGCTGCTTGGGGCTTGGGCGCCAGGGGGCGCTGTCTGCGAAGTGTCTGCAGCTGAGCTGGGCGCTAGGTGGGTGGGGCCGGTGGGGGCGGGTGGGTGTCCGCTGCCACCCGGAAGTTCACTGAGGTCCCATCTCCCGTGCACTTCCGTCGTTCGTCCACCTGCGGCCTGTGAGGCGGTGGGGCCGCAGGGGACTTGGGCCGGGAACGGACATGGTGAGTGACGGCCGGGCGCGGAGGCGGCAGGAGGGCGGGGAGCCGCCAAGGACCGTCTGTCCGCGGGCAGGTCCGGGCTGCGGACCCCAGGCGCCCGGGCTCCGCGGAGGCTGCAGGCCCCTCGGGCTCGCAGGGGGCCCCGCCGGGACCCGGGTCCAGGGCGTCCCCGCGGCGGGGCCTGGGGCTGCGGAGCGAGTCCGGGCGGCTCCGCGCCCACAGCCCGGGCTCCGCAGTGGGTGCGGGGCCGCGCGGAGGGTCCGTGGGGACAGGGGGCTCGGCCTCCGCGGTCCGTGCCCGGGGGGAGCTGTGGTCTGTGGCCTGTCCCTCCTTTCCCCCCAGAGGGACCATGTTCTCCTGGGTGTGATGTGTGTGGGGCAGGCTCTCCCGTCCCCCCGTCCCCCAGGCCCTGCTCTGCAGCCAATGCCTGCATTCCCAGCCTCTCCCCGGACCCTGAGCCCCATCTTCCCTCCTCTGAGTCACAGCATCGTTATCAGCCTTTTGTTTTGTGGTGCTTTTCAAACGGTTAAAAACAAGATTCAGCTGAGTAAGTGGAAGGTTAACTGGCTTTATTCCCATTCACGAATCAAGCCAATCCCATCTAGTAAATAGAATCTGTTCAAAATGGAAGGCATGTACAATAGGCAGAAACGAAGTGAAAAGAAAAGAGGGGTTTGCTTCAGGCAGGTTCCTTTCCTTAGGGGAAGGAACACAGGAGGCTTTTAGAGGGATCAGTGTTGAACAGCAGGTTGCTGGGTGACTGGGTTAGAATGTTACTCCTGGGAGAGGTGGAACTGCAGTTACACACAGGCATGCACCCTTGAGCCTGGGGAGTCCATCTTGAGGCAGTTTTGTTGTTTTCAGTTCTTACACACACCTGCATGGTGTAGCCTGCTACACACCTAGGCCACATGGGGTAGCCTGTGGGTCCCAGGCAGCAAACCTGTGCAATGTGCTGCTGTACTGAGTACTGTCAGCAGTTGTAACGCAGTGGTGGTGAGCATTTATGAGAAGGCGCAGTAAAAATGTGGTGGCAAGATAGAAAATGGTCCATCCGTGTGGGCACTGACCCTGAATGGACTACAGGACTGGAGGCTGCTCTGCAGGAGTCAGTGGTCGGTGAGTGAATGTGAAGGCCTAGGACGCTCCTGTGCACGACTGTAGACTGTATCACACTGCACACTGAGGCCAGGAAATGTACAAAACACAGATCCATCAAGCCCAGGAGGCAATGATGGGATCAAAAGGCTCAGTCAGCACAAGGCCTCTGAGGCTGTGCCCGCATAAACCAGCACACTGCTTCACAGCAGAGTTTTCTTTCACTCAGTAGAAAGCTCACAAAGATACAGAGGAAGGTACAGCACCCATCTACTAATGGATGGGCACATGGGCTGTTTCCAGATCTTAGCTGTTGTAAATTGTGCTGCTATGAACATTGTTTCCGATAGATATTTCTGGGTTTCTTAGGATATATTCCTAGGAGTGGGATGACTAGGTCAGATGGCAGATCCATATTTAATTTTTTAGGAAACACCATACTGTTTTTCCATAACGTTTGCACCAATCTGCATTCCCACCAGCAGTGTACTAGGGTTCCCTTTTCTCCACCTCTGGCTTTGTGTCGTTTGAAACATCAGTGTGTGGCCCAGAGCAACGTCAGAGGGGAGCAGAGGCCTGAGGCCAGGTGCTTTAAGCTAAGGAAGCCCCCACGCCCTGGAGCTACCAAGAAAGTACCTGAAGGCCCACTGACCTTCCTGGGGAGCCTCCCCTGCAGGTGTCCTACCTGCTCACACCCACCGTGGAGGGAGCCTTTACAGGGAGAGAAGCTACAGCCCTGGAGAGCTGGGGTGCAGGTGCACCTGCGGGAGGGGGTGATGCCCTTCCGAGGTTTTAGTTGAGGTCCCCCTGGGCCTGTTCCTAGGCATCAGTTGAAGTTTTGCATCCAGGGTGTGGGTGCACATTGAGGAAACCTGGGAAAGTCAGGAGGATGTGTCCTGGGTTAGGGATTGTGAGGTTGGGAGTTCATTTGGGTCAGAACCTTACGCTGAATCCAGCTGAGCACCCGTCCCTGAGCTGCAGCCTGAGAGGGAGCACGTCTGCTGGCAGCACCTCGTTAGACCCAAGAGGGTGGGCGGGTGGCATGGTGGGAGCAGCACCTCGTGTTAGACCTGCCTGATCAGACCGGGTCTGGGGTCAGCAACCTTGGTGTCTGAGTTCTGGCTGGGAATGAGTTCAGAGCCAAGACTCAAGCTATAAGAGAACATTGATTCGGGAAATCACAGAGGTAGAAGAAGTAATTCTTGGAAGGCATGGGCTTAGGAAACAAGGTGTAGAGGTAACGGAAGGGCCCTTGGCTCTTAGAAGAGAGAAAGGTAGCTGTCACAGGCCCGGGGGGATGGGTGGACGAGGAGAGGTGGGGACAGGCTCCCAGGAAGGAGAGCAAGCTGGGTTCTCTGTCCCAGGGGTTTAAGGGTGGAGATTTTAAGGGAGGTCCCGGGGAAATCTCAGAATATTCAGCAGCTTTCCAGATGTGTCCCTTCACGTCTGGGTCTCCACGGATTGATTGGTGTGGCCAGGGCCCCGGTCATCATTCAGGGCCGCTGGTCCTGAGGTCCGCCCTGCATCGCTTTGCTGGGCCTGCAGCTGAAATAGAAGTGTGGCCTGGAGGCTATTTCTAGGGGGAAAGGCCCGGGGTCCAATCTGCATGGCCAGCGATTCGCTACGGGACGAAAGGTCACCTGGGGATGAGGCCCCAGCCTACAGTGGTCTGCTGCTAGGCATGACCTTCTGGCCCTGGCCCGTTCTCCTTGCCCTGCTCATGTCTGTCTAACTGCCCAGCACTTTTCCATTCTTCCCAGGGAGAGGAGGGGACTGGAGCTCCAGACTTCATTCCTGGGGTGGCTGCTCAGGCGTCCCTCCTCTGCTTTCCCCAGGGACTGTGACACTCAGGGGTTCTTTCTGTCTCAGACAGGAGAGTCTAGGACGTGGAACCTTCTGAAAGTGGCTTTCCTTCTGTCCTGTGGGAAGCAGGCTGCTCATCTGAGCTGAATCCAATGTATGTGTTTCTTCCTTCAGAGCCTTTATGCATCACCTAAGGTAGCTCTTTCACTCTAGTTTCCCTGAGAATGAAAATGTCCATTGATTAAATGTACCAGGTAGGGGGAAAAGAGAAAGATTGAGACATCCCAGCAGGGTGGCTCAGCGGGTGAGCGTCAGCCTATGAAACTGGAGGGTGTGATGCTGAGTTGCACATGCTTGATCCCCAGTAGGGGGCATGCAAGAGGCAGCTGATCAATGATTCTTTCATCAGGGATGTTTCTATCTCACTCTTCTTTCAGAGAGAGAGAGAGAGAGAGAGAGAGAGAGAGAGAGAGAGAGAGAGAGAGGCAGGCCCAGCTGGTTTAGCTCAGTGAATCAACGATTCCTGGGTTTGATTGTGAACAAGGGCACATACTTGATTGCTGGCTCCTCCCTGGCCCAGGCCCTGGTCTGGCCATGTGCAGGAGGCAACCAATCTATGTGTTTCTCCTACATAGATATTTATTTCTGTCTTTTTCTCTCTCTCTAAAAATCAGTGGGAAAATATCTTTGGATAACCATTAAAAAGAGAGAGAGAGAGATAGAGAGAGAGAGAGAGAGAGTGTTAGATGAAAAAAGCGAGAAAATTTGTGAAAGCAGACTGATTTTTCTTTTCCCTTTTATGCAAGAGAAACTCCAAGTGTGAAATGAATGTATTTAAATTTTCAGGCACATTTTTATTTTTATTTTTATTTTTCTAAATATATTTTTGTTGATTTCGGAGAGCAAAGAGAGGGAAAGACACAGACATCAATGGTGAGAGAGAATCATGGATTGGCTGCCTCCTGCATGCCCCCTTCTGGGAATCAAGCCTGCCCAAAACTCAGGCTTGTCCCTGACTGGGAATCTAACCATGATCTCCTGGTGCATGGGTCAGCATTTCACCACTGAGCCACACACCTACCGGGCACATTTTTTATTTTATGATCTCTGTTTGTATGGCATGTCTCTAGAGCAAGCACATGAAACCGCAGCCTGTGGGCCCCATGCAGCCCAAAACTGCATGAATATTTTTGCGACCCAATCAATATTACAGTCTGTAAGAAAAAAATTTAAAAAATATATCTTTAAATATATATTTATTTTTTACAGAGAGGAAGGGAGACGGATAGAGAGGTAGAAGCATCGATCAGCTGCCTCCTGCACACCTTCTGCTGGGGATGTGCCCGCAACCAAGATATATGCCCTTGACCGCAATCGAACCTGGGACCTTTCAGCCCATAGGCCTAGGCTCTATCCACCGAGCTCAACCAGTTCTGGCAAGAAATATTTTAATAAAAATTTCACAACTTAATTTTTACAATATCCTGTCGTGTGTTTATGTGTGTGTGTGTGTGTGTGTGTGTGTGTGTGTATATATATATATATATATATATATATATGGCTAATATGCAAATTGTCCACTTATGAGTTCAACCAGGAGAATGGCAGTTCATTCTCTCACTTGCTATGACATGCGCTGACCACCAGGGGGTGGTGTGGAACATGGCAGATGGTGGCAGGGCGCTGAGGGAGGGAAGGAAAAAGGAGGTCTGGAGGTGAGGATTCCAGGTCTAGGGATCCTACCCATGCACGAATTTTGTGCACCAGGCCTCTAGTTATTAATAAGGAACTACAATGTTTGCTAATGACTGATTACTGTAATTGTGTTGCATTCATTTCCCTTCAGTGCCTTATGTGCAGGCGCGTCATTTCTCACCACTAATACTAGCAGTGAATATTTTAGCAGCCGGTTGCCATGTCGTTATTCTTAGACTGACGTTTTTCGGCTGCATGGGGCCCGCAGGCTTCAGGAAGTTTCCTTTCAGAGAACAAGAAAGATACCGTGTTTCCCCGAAAATAAGACATCCTCCGAAAATAAGACCTAGTGCATGGAAAGGTAAGACATGCCCTGAAAATAAGACCTAGCACATCTTTGGGAGAAAAAAATTAATATAAGACACTGTCTTATTTTCGGAGAAACAGGGTAGGTTTATTTGCATTACACTTATTAATTTGTGCAATGATTCAGTGTCTGGTAAATTAATGTTCAAGAAAAAATAGTAACTTTTATTAAAATGTTCTATTATTTTCCTGACTGGATACAATGTTGGCCTGTGGACTGAAGGGTCCTGGGTTTGATTCCTGTCAAGGGCATATACTTTGGTTACGGGCACATCCCTAGTAGGAGGTGTGCAGGAGGCAGCTGATTTATGTTTCTCTCTTATCGATATTTCAAAATCTATCCCTCTCTCTTCCTCTCTGTAAAAAATCAATAAAATATATATATTTAAAAATGTTATATTATTTTATGTTAATGATTAGTCACTTATTTCAGACTTTGTATTCAGCATATCTATCAAAATAAACGTAAAATTCTGTGAAAATTGAAGCTTTTGGGGTTTTTTTTTGTAGCCCACATAAACTTAAGTGAGAGAGAATCATTGATGGCTGCCTTCTGCGTGCCTCCTACTGGGAATCAAGCCTTTGAGTTTGACATGCTTGCTGTAGAGAATCTTAAAAATGGTTATATCGTTGAATATTTATTGTAGTTAATATGACAACTATGAGAACATTATGTAAATGTCTGAAAATTCAATACATTTTAGGAGTTAAACTTATTATTTAAAGAAATTGAATTCTAGAATGGTTAAAAATAGTGTGTGTAAATTTTTGCATTTTTTGCAGTATACTTGTGAAATAGAAAAGTGCCACATTATTTTTTTTTCATGAAAGAATTCTTTTTAAAAATATGTATATATTTTACTGATTCTTTACAGAGAGGAAGAGAGAGGGATAGAAAGGTAGAAACATCTATGAGAGAGAGACATTGATCAACTGCCTCCTGCACACCCCCTATTGGGAATGTGCCCGCAACCAAGTTATGTGCCCTTGACCGGAATCGAATCTGGGACCTTTCAGTCCGCAGGCCAACACTCTATCCACTGAGCCAAACCGGTTTCAGCAAAAAGTGCCACTTTAGACTCACTGCCCACATATGCTGGTGCCTCCAACACTGTTTCTCCAGTTACCCCTAAATAGAGTTTTGATCATTTCTTAGCAAATGTCCCAGCAGATACCAAGTCTGGCCACTCCCCCTGGATGCTCCACACCTTTGTGGTGGGCAGGGCCTCAGGAAGTTTTCAGGTTGAGGAAAGCAGAGTTTATCAAATGCAAACAGACCCAAATTTGGCCATGTGAAGGAATACTCTGTACAGGTGGTGCAAGGGAAGGAAAAATGGCCCCAGACCTAGAGCCACACAGCTCAGTCTGTGCCAGATTCTCCAGGAACCTGACCTCTGCAGGACACGTCCACTAAGTGTGAGGCAGGTGGGGTTCGGGGTCTCCATCAGGGGGAGGTGCCCGTCAGGCTTTGGGGAAAGGGGGGGAGGGGCACTCAGCCTTGAGCACCCAACTCAGTCAGTCCTGGATTCTAACCCTCACCTGAGCATGGTGCAGCCACCAGGAGGGCGTGCTGCTGGGAGTGCAGAGGTGGGACTAGGGCATCTCTCTTGAGGGGGAGGCACCAGTCAGGTTCACGGGAAACTTTGGGGAATGACCCCTTCCCTGGAGGCACACAGCTCAGTCACTGACGCCTTAGAGTAGGGGTGTCGAACTCAATCAGAGAAGGGGCCAAAATCTAAAATCCAGCCTAAATCGCGGGCCGAATGGTTTACTGAACAGTCATAAACTGTCATTGTGATGGAAACGCAGCGGAGTGCAGTGATGACAGCGCGGTGCGGGCCACATTGCAAGGCCTGGCGGGACGGATTTGGCCCGCGGGCCTTGTGTTTGACACATGTGCCTTAGAGTCTGCCCACACTCAGGCCAGGCAGCTGACTCCCCAGCAGAGCACAAAATCCACAGGGTTTTTCTTACTTTGTAATTAGCACTTGGACTGCTCATTTAAAAAAATACATATCTTTATACATATCTTTATTGGTTTCAGAGAGGGAGAGAGAGAGAGAAATATTTATGATGTAAGAGAATAATCCTTAGACTGCCTACTGCCATCCCTCTCCCCACTGGGGATCGCACTTGCGATCATCATCTGTCTTGAACAGGGATGGAACTGTGACCTCCTGGTTCATAGGTGGATGCTCAACCACTGAGCCAGGTGATTCTGGGAAACTACAGCATTTTCCGGCGTTTAAGACGACCCCCAAATTTTTACAGTTAAAACATAGGTTTAGGCCTATATTCGCTGTATAAGACTATCCCTCACTTCCGAGGCAACACCAGTTTTTTTTTTAATAGACCGCCTCTGACTCTGGCCAATCTGAGCAGGCTTTTTTTCATTTCAAAAGTCGTCTTATACTCCGGAAAATACGGTATGCATTTTTTTTTTATGGTTGCCTATTGACAGCTTGAGCCTCAGTCTACTCTTGTCCCTATAGCCTCCCAGTTGAACAAGCTGATAAGAAAGCCAGGTGTATCTTAATAAAAAATGAAAATAAATAAATAAACAAACAGATACAGATTAAGAGAGGCATGAATGAGACCATCAAACCTCAAAGGGAAGGTAGAGGAGGGTGGGTGAAAGGGAGATCAGCCAAAGGACTTGTATGCTTCACTCTCACCCACACCTCTGCAGGTGAACATAACACTGGCACTTGCTGCCAGGAACAGCACATCCCAACATACCAGCCATGTGGGTCTGTCTTCCGTTTCTCAGACTTGCTCACCTGTGGCTGCTGGGTGCCGGGCGGATGGTGCTGGGAGCTGTGGCATTGCTGAGCCTGTTGTCCTCACTTCTGTGTACCAGAGTGGGCAGTTTCATACATTTCTAGGCAGTTGGCAGGCAGAGTGTGGTACTGGGCCCTCTTTGAAGTGGTCCTGGAATCATTTGCTCTGGCTCTGTGAATTCAGTACATGTGTGACCAAAGATAGCAGGCTAATTTTTAAGTTGATGATATTGTATGGCCCAAGATTGGTGTTATAACTATTCAGATGGCCCTTGGCAGAAAAAGGTTCCCAACCCCTGCTCTCTAGAAAAAACAATTTGGGCTCAACCGGGAGCTTGTCTTACTCCCTCCTCTCCCTGGACGTAAGACCAGAGAGGTTTCCCTATTTTGTCATTGCTCTACGAATAGGTCATTGGGTTTTCTGGCATCACGAGTGGTGAGTGGGAGCCTTTTCTCTGTTCCCTACACATGGACCTCAGTGGGTCCTATGTCTTAGGGGAATTTCGCTGTGGGCAGGGCCTGTGCCTGGGATAGACTGTCCTGCTGCTGGAACTCACAGGAGAGCTCAGAAATGAGACCAGTTGGGAGAAGGCACCTACAGTAGCATCATGTTTTTGGAGAAAACCACTTTTGTAAGTTTTGTGTCTTCAAATTGAGGAATATTTTAAACTATTGGGATGACATTGGCTAATAAAATTATATACGTTTCAAGTGTACAATTCTATGACATATCATGTGCACACTGTATTGTGTGTTCCCCACCCGAAGTCTCCTTCCAACACCATTTATTCTTCCCCTTTCCCCTCTTCTACTACCCCATGCTGTTGTCTGAGTCTAAGAGTTTGTTTATTTTGCTTAATCCCTCGCCCGTTTTTCATTCCTTCCATTTGACAGCTGTCAGTCTGTTTTCTGTATCTATGAGTCTTTATATACTTTGTTAGTTTCTCTTCTTTACATTCCAAATATAAATGCAATCATGTGATATTTGTGTTTCTCTTACTGGTTTTCTTCACTTACCATAATGTACTCCAGGTCCATTCATGCTGTCAAGGAAGGTAAGATTTCCTTTATTTTTACCACCGAGTAATATTCAATTGGGTTGGACCAGGGCTTTTTTATCCACTCACTTCCTGATGGGCACTGGTGCTTCTTCCAAATCAGGGCTATTGTAAATAATGTTACAATAAAGGCAGGGGTGCATATTTCCTTTTGCATTAGTGTTTTGAGGGTTTTTTGGGGTTTTTTTTGGGTTTTTTTGGCTATATTTCCAGAAGTGAAATGGCTGGGTCATTGCCAGTCTGACCTGCAGACCCTGAGCGACAGATGAATGGATTACTCTGACACAAAGTTTGCTGTGAAAGAGAGGCCTAAGGTACTGCCTGGCTAAAGGAACACAGGCAAACTAGATTGTCTGCCTTGTTAGGCTTTTATTGTAACAGCAGTTTAAGATAAAGTTTATCTTTCAGATACAATCAGTAAGGTAAGTAATTTTGGGAGCAAACTTGTGTTTGTAATATCCTTTAAGCAAGGACACTCAAAGATTAAGTATAAGGATTCCGGTAAACACCCGGTGTCTGTCTGTGCACAGAATTGTTTGGAAAGGTCAAGGAATAATTACGGGCACTGCCTTCAGCACTCCCCTAAGTTGGAATTTCCATAAAAGGCAGACAGCCTTCCACTCACTTCTTTTTTCTCAGAATGTCCTTACAAACTTTCCACCCAAGTCTCATGTGCTCCCCAACATTTTCCCTTTTTTGTTTTGCTGAATGTACTGGTAGAAGACAGAGGGAGGTGGTGAACTTTCTGCCATTTATTTCTGGAAGAGGATTGGTCCCATGCTGTGCCATGGCAGGGTTTAATCTGGCCAGCTGGAATCCACAGTGTCCTATGGGGGTAGAAACGCACGCATATTCTCTCCTCCATGTTAATAATTCCTTACAAACTTTCCACCCAAGTCTCATGTGCTCCCCAACAGGTTATGAGTCAGTTGTATTTTTAAGTTTAGAGGAAACTCCATACTGACATTTGTACTTTGTGCCTTTATTGATGGCTAGAGGCCCAGTGCCTGAATATGGGGAGAGGGGGAGACCTACCCTCATCCCAGCCTGCCCTCTCTCACAGTCTGGGAGCCCTCAGGGGCAGAAGCCAACCCAGCGATCAGGGGAAGGCGATGCTTCCAACACACTTCTGCTGCTGCCACTGCCAGCAGCTCAAGCCTCAGCTGGCCCTGGTTACCTGTACCTTGGGCTGGCCCTGGCCAGCTGGGAAGCTGCCATGCAAGGCTTGCCTGCACCTCAAGCATCGGCTGGGCAGCTGCCATACAAGGATTGCCTGTGCCTCGGGCCAGTCCTGGGTGACTGGGCAGCCAACATCTGTGGCTTGCTTGCGCCAGCCTTGGGCGGCTAGGGGCCGGAGGGGACTGAGGGACTCTGGAGGCAGGTGTGGCATGGCTGGGCCTGCCCCCCAGACCTGCCTGGGGGTGGACCCGGCTGTACTGCATGCCTGTTGCCCCAGCTGGACTGAGGGGTCTGGGCACCGCCATCTTGTGACTGGGTGCTGCCAACTTTGAGGGCGTGGTAGTCAATTAATATATTCCCTCTTTATTGGCTATGGGCACTGCCATCTTTGTGAGGATGTGACGGTCAATTAGCATATTTCCTCTTTATTAGATAGGATAGCCATTCTGACAAGTTTGAGGTGATTTTTTAGTGTGAGTTTAATTTCATTTTTCATATGTGTTTTGGCCATCTGTATGTCCTCTTTGGGGAAGGAAGTATCTGTTTAGGTCCTTTACCCATTTTTCTCTCTTTTTAAAAAATATATTTTATTGATTTTTTACAAAGAGGAAGGGAGTGGGGTAGAGAACTAGAAACATCGATGAGAGAGAAACATCAATCAACTGCCTCTTGCAAAACCCCCACCAGGGATATGTCCACAACCAAGGTACGTTGACCGGAGTCGAACTTGGGACCTTTCAGTTTGCAGGCTGACACTATCTATTGATCCAAACCAGTTAGGGCTACCCATTTTTCTTTTTATATAAACTATTTTCTTTCATGTTTTTAGATCAGCACTGTCGGGTATATTTTTTATTGATGTTAAAGAGATAAGGGAGAAAGAGAGGTACAGAAAAACATCTATTGGTTGACTCCCATTCATATCCCAATTGGGAATCAAACACAGAATTGGGCATGTGCCCTGTTTGGGAACTGAACCCATTACCTTTTTAAAATCATTTTTTGGTGTTGAATTGTATAAATTCTTTATAAATTTTTGGTAATAACCCCTTACCACAGGTTTCATTGGTGAATATGTTCTCCCACTGGGTTGTTTGCCTTTTTATTTTGTTGACTGTTTCCTTTTAGTTTGATGCCGTCCCATTTGTTTATTTTTTCTTTTATTTCTCTTTCCTGGGGAGACAAATCAGAAAAAGTATTGCTATAGGACAAATGTCCACAATTTTATTGCTAGGATTTTTATGGTTTTGAGTCTTACATTTAAGTATTTTATACACTTTTAGTTTATTCTTGTTTATGATGTAAGAAACTGTTCTAGTTTCCTTTTTTGGCATTTTCCCAGCATCATTGATTGAATGTGTTATCTTTACTTTATTGTGTTTTCTTGTCTCCTTTGTCAAGTATTCTGTGACCTTAAAGGCATTGGATTATTTCTGGGCTCTCTGTTCCATTCCACTGATTTATATGCTGCTTTTATGCCAGGACCATGCTGTTTTAATTACTATAGCCTTGTAGTACAGTTGGATATTAGGTAATGTGATCCATCTACATTTGTGCTTCTATATCAAGATTGCTGTTGCTATTCAGGGTGTTTTGTGGTCCCATATAATATTTTTGAATATTTGCTCTAGCTATGTGAGCACATTGGTATCTTTTTAAAAAAATATTTTTTATTGATTTCAGAGAGCAAGGCAGAGGGAGAGATAGAAACATCAATGATGAGAGAGAATCAGTGATCAGCTGCCTCCTGCATGCCCCTTATTGGGGATTGAGCCCACAACCCCGGCATATGCCCTTGACCAAAATCAAATGTGGGTCTTTTCAATCCACAGGCCATGGTCTATCCACTGAGCTGAGCCAGTTAGGGCCAGCATTGGTATCTTGATAGGAATTGCATTGAAGCTATAGATTGCTTTGTGTAGTGTGGACATTTTAATGGTATTAATTTTTTTTCTATCCATAAACACCACATATGCTTGCAGTTATAGTTTATATTCCAATTATAGTTTACATTTAATTTTATTGTGTATTAGTTTCAGGAGTAGAACATAGTATTAAGACAAATTTTAGAGTTTTCTACTTAATATTTTCATTACTCCCCTGACCTCTTATGTACTTTATAAGCATGTGCCATTTCAACATGAAAATATTCCAGGCTTCAATAAAGCCCCTGTACATGCCAAGTCTTAAATTGTTCCTGAAGGTCCAGGCCACAGTTACAGTGTTACAATTCTGCCAGAGTTTTTAGTATGATCTTATGATTTCAGTATACTTGTCTATATGTCCTAAAAATCAGAATGAAATAACCCGCAGGCTCATGAGTTGAGGACTTCGGTAGAAAGCTAAGTTGCCCTGTCTTGCTCATGCCTGAGCTCTAACTCTCAGGTCCTATCTCCATGAAATAAGAGAAGCAAAAAGTCAACCTGAATTACTAACAAATATTATTTTTTAAATGGCCATTCATACTCCTCCACAAGAATATTTTCACTCATTCAGGTGTATCTCTCTACTTCTATTAATCTGGAGTACTTCAGGAAAATATGGCTACGTACATTTTGTTCTCATTGGAATTTCCACACACCGCCTGGCCTCTCCTGTTTGGTGATGAGAATAGAAAAGAAAGCTACCAGGCCTTTATTGTAGTTACTAAAACTTTATGCAGATATGACAGTTAATAATAGTCTTGCAATCAAGTCATAGAGTGAATGTTGTGGACCATGTGTCCTATGTGAACTTCCTATGAATTTTATATAGGTATCCAGTTCTCTCTGTCTCACCCATTCTCCTATATGTATATGTGGGATGTTTTAGGACTCAGTGGCCTTTGAGGATGTTAATGTGGAGTTTACCATAGAGGAGTGGGCTTTCCTGGATCCCACCCAGAAGAAATTCTACACAGATGTGATGCTGGAAATCTTCTGGAACTTGGCATCAGTAGGTAGGTATCACAAATTCTTTTTTTTTTTTTTTCTTTTAATATGTGTTTATTGATTTTAGAGAAGAAGGAGTTGGGGAGAATGCTAGCATAATCAGTGATGAGAGAGAATCAATGATTGGCTACCTCCTGTGCACCTCACACTGGGGACCTAGCCTGCAAATGGATCCCACTGGGAATTGACCTGTTACCTCCTGGTTCATACTGGTCCATAGGTTGACGGTCAACCACAGAATGACTCTGGCCTACCCAACTTGTTACTTATTTAATCAATTAGAAAACTACTATTGCTTGTTTATCAATGCTGTTTCAATAACTGAAATACAGAAAGGGAATACATTGTTAATTAAACTAGGACTATCATTAGCTCATTGTGTCCCTAAAATCTAACCATTTTTTATATTCTTTAATACGTTAAGCTCCCAGCCTGTTTTGTCTTCCAGACAGAAAGAATAGTGTTAGTCACTGGTGACTGACCGGGAGTTTAACGTGTTAATAGTTTATAATACTTTTTCTAGCATGTATTTTAGAAGAAGAAGGTGAAGACAATGACACTGAAGATAAATATGAATATCATGGGATGAATCTTAGGTGAGTCACTTTGACATGAGAAACCATTAAGAGAATCTTTTTTTTTTTTTTAATAGCTTTTTATATATTTTATTTACTTATTTAATATTTTAAATTTATTTCAGAGAAGTAGGGAGTGGGAGAAAGAAAGAGAAACATCAATGATAAGAGAGAATTATGAAGGCTGCCTCCTGCATACCCCACACTTGGTATTAAGACCAGAACCTCGGCATTTTCCCTGACTGGGAATTGATCTGTGACCTTGTTCAGAGGTTGGTGTTCAACCACTTGGCCATGCTGGTGGTGATAAAAAATCTTTTTATTGACTTCAGAGTGTGGAGGTGTAAGGGAGATCTAGAAAAATTGATTGGCTGCCTTCTGCATGCCCTGTACTGGGGTTAATTAATAAGTCTGCAGTCTGTTCATGTTCCTTTTTGGGGAATTGAACTGGCAACCCCTTGATGGGTCCATGCTAAATCATGAGCCACAAAACAATCTTAAAAACATGTAATCCAATTGTATCAGCCAGTTTTAAATTTATTCTCTCTTATAATAATCTCATGAAAATGTTTTTTTCTGAAATGGGACCTAAAGTTTAGTGTATAAAAAGTAATTATACTTGAAAACAATATACAGATGTTCCATTAATGAATATAAGTGTTTTCATCATGTCTATGATATAGTCTATATCAGAGGTTTTAGGATAAGAAATTTCAAAACTCAGAATGTACAGAAATCCTGCTCTTTCCTTCAAAATGGTAAAAATATCCTAGTCATACTACAATATTAATAAATATTAAATTATTAACAGAATATTAATAATATGCTTCTGATTTTTACAGCAGTCATACGGTAGAGAGAGTCTGTACACAGAAGGATGGTATTCGATGCAGAGAAAACTTCAGGCAGATTCCAAATCATAATGAAGAGAGGGAAACAACTACTGAAATAAAACAACCTAAAGTCACCTTGTGTAGGCAAATATTCATGCTTTACTTATCCTTGAATAATCACCTGAGCTCTCACATTGGACCCAGACTATGTCAAGAATATGAAGAAAACCCTTATGAATGTAAGGAAGCTGAGAAAGCTTTCAGGCATTACCACAATATTCGAATCAATGAAGGCAGTCCCTGTGGGAAAGCTTTCTACTATTCAACCTCCCTTAGAAATCATGAAAGAACTCATACTGGGGAAAGACGCTATGAATGTAAAGTTTGTGGTAAAGTTTTCTCTTATTCAACTTCCCTCCAAAATCATAAAAGAACTCATACCGGGGAAAAACCGTATGATTGTAAACAATGTGGAAAAGCCTTTTTTACTCTACGTGCCTTCCGATATCATGAAAGAATTCATACTGGGGTAAAACCCTATGAATGTAAGCAATGTGGGAAAGCTTTCATGGTTCTAAGTACCCTCCAACGTCACGAAAGAATTCATACTGGGGAAAAACCCTATAAATGTAACTATTGTGGCAAAACTTTCACTAATGTATCTTCTGTCCATTGTCATGAAAGAATTCATACTGGGGAAAAACCCTATGAATGTAAGCAATGTGGGAAAGCTTTCCTTGCTCTAGGTGCCCTCCGATATCATGAAAGAATTCATACTGGGGAAAAACCTTATAAATGTAACCATTGTAGTAAAGCTTTCTCTTATGCATCTTCCCTCCGATGTCATGAAAGAACTCATACTGGGACAAAACCCTATGAATGTAAGCAATGTGGGAGAGCTTTCTTTGCTCTAGGTGCCCTCCAACGTCATGAAAGAATTCATACTGGGGAAAAACCCTATGAATGTAAGCATTGTGGCAAAACTTTTGCTAATGTATCTTCTGTCCATTGTCATGAAAGAATTCATACTGGAGAGAAACCCTATGAATGTAAGCAATGTGGGAAAGCTTTTGTTGCTCTAAGTAACCTCCGACATCATGAAAGAATTCATACTGGGGAAAAACCCTATAAATGTAAGTATTGTGGCAAATGTTTCGCTAATGTAACTTCCCTTAAATGTCATGAAAGAATTCATACTGGGGAAGAACCCTATAAATGTAAGTATTGTGGTAAAGCTTTCTCTTCTCTAACTTACCTCCAATGTCATGAAAGAATTCATACTGGGGAAAAACCCTATGAATGTCAGCAATGTGGAGAGGCTTTTTGTCTTTCCCAATCTCTTAGAAGTCATAAAAATATGCATGCTGGGGGGAAATCCTATGAATGTAAGCAGTGTGGGAAAGCTTTTGTTACTCTAGACACCCTCCAACATCATGAAAGGACTCATGCTGGGGAAAAACCCTATGAATGTCAGCGGTGTGGGAAAGACTTCAGCTGTGCCTCACATCTTCAAAGACATAAAAGAACTCACAATGGAAAGAAGACTCATGAATAAGAAATGAGGTAAACTGCTCTAGCTGGTTTGGCTCAGTGGATAGAGTGTTGGCCTGCAGACTAAAAGGTCCCAGGTTCGATTCTGGCAAGGGCATGTACCTTGGTTGTGGGCACATCCCCAGTAGGGGGTTTGCAGGAGGCAGCTGATCGATGATTCTCATTGATGTTTCTAACTCCCTCCCTTTCTCTCTGTAAAAAATCAATAAAAATATATATTTTTTAAAGAATGAGGTAAACTGTTTTGCCAACCCTTTTCTCTTAGATACCATGGAATGTACACTTGGAAGAAACCCTATGAATGCAAGCAATGTGAGAAATCCAATTCTCATTCCAGTTCCTTATTAATGCACAAAAATTTTAATAATGGAGAGAAACCACATCAATGCAAGGAATGTGGTAAAGCCTTCAGCATCCCAACTGGTTTTCACAGACATTTGAAAATAAAATGTATTGATAAACACTGTTAATGTAAAGAATAGCCAAGAGCCTTCATTTCTCTCTCAGTTGTGCCATCATGTATGGATTATCATATTGGAGATGGACCCTAGAAATGTAAGAGTGTTAGAAAACATTCGTTTCTTCCATTTTATTGTAAAGGATGAAAGAGAAGGCCTGTCAAGTAAAGAGAAAGCCTGCCAAGTAAAGATTGTAGAAGAGCTTTTGGCCATCCTAGTTCTTTACAAAATCATGAAGGGACTCACCCAACAATAAATGTACGAACATAAGGAATGTTGGTGAGCCTTTCTTGGACATGTAAGAATGCACCTGAAGAAGTAATGTAAATGTATATAGAAGGTGGGAAAGCCTTCAGCTGTCCCTTTTCATTGGAAAGGTCATAAAAAAAAAAACCCTCAAAATTGAGAATTGTATTTAATGTAAAAATGTAGGAAAACCATCATGTTGCTTTATGTCCCTGCAATAATACAATGTGAAAATGTACATTGGATAGATACTGTATAATTGCCTATTTTTTAAAAATAACTAAATTTTTACAAATACTTTCAGACTTTCTTGGAAATTTCACTGGAAGGAAATCCAATTAGTGTAATTAACAAATACATGTAAGCCTGTTGCAAATTAAGTCATAGAGTCCCCAAAACTCACACCATTAAAGAAGTTTTATGAACTTTTGACAAATTTGGTCATTATTAGTACTTAATCTTTTTTTGTTATTTTTTTTTAATTGATGCTTTAGAATGAGGAAGGCATAGAGGGAAATGGAGGGAAATATCAATGTAGAGAAAAACATCAATGGGTTGTCTTTCCATGTGCCCTGACCAGTAATGTGCCCAGATGGGTATTGAATGAATAGGCCCAACATACATAAATATTCTTTTTTAATTTTCTTTTTTTTTTTCTTTTTAAATTTTCAATTGCACTTGAAATTCACTATTCTTTTAGTCAATAAGTATGTGCCATATATTTGTACATAATACTGTTCACTGTAGAGTCCCCCTCTGTATTATTGTCATGTATTTTTGTGTGTGTTGCTTTTTGCTGGGAATTGTGGTATGGAGTTCACATTAAGAAGATAATATTTTAGTTTGTTTTTCCTCAATCTTTGCCCTCCCAGCCAAAAATACCCTCAAAACTGCCAGCCATTGCTTTGCAATTCCACTGTTGTCAGGTGTAAGCTTTACAGATGTTCACAATTCAACATTAAAGATCCAGCATACATTGGCTTTTCCTGCAAGTCCATAGGTGTTCACCAGGCAACAAACGTAAACTGTCATGGTTGAGGCTGTTTTCTGAAGGGTATGCTCTCTTTTCTAGATTGCATTTGCATGAGGTCTAATTTGACTAGTAATCATCTTGTTCTGTTGGCACTACTACTGACTAAGATTCAGATCCCTCTGTGACAGCTACAATGGTGCAGTGCCAAGGAGCCTCATGACAGTTTGTTCTTGTGCCACCCTCTGCAGTGAGGGCTCTGAGCCAGTCCTTCCATGTGAGAATCAGCACTTTCCTCATTTCAGGTAGACTGATGTGTGCTATGACTCAGAGCTGAGCCAAATCTCTCAATGTTTTCAGTTACCAGGATTAAAATTATGTGCATTTTTCCTAATAAGTGCTTCTGTAATTAAAAATTTTTTTTTAATTGATTTCAGAGAGCAAGGGGGAGAGAGAGAGAGAAACATCAATGATGAGAACCATTGATCAGCTGCCTCCCACATACTGCCTGCTGGGCATTGAGCCTGGAACCTGGGATTCTTCAGTTTGCAGGCTTACACATTATCCACTGAGCAAAACTATCTAGGGCACGTGTCAAACACAAGGCCCGCGGGCCAAATCCGTCCCGCCAGGCCTTGCAATGTGGCCCGCACTGCGCTGTCATCACTGCACTCCGCTGCGTTTCCATCACAATGACAGCTTATGACTGTTCAGTAAACCATTTGGCCCGCGATTTAGGCTGGATTTTAGATTTTGGCCCCTTCTCTGATTGAGTTCGACACCCCTAATCTAGGGCAATGCTTCTGTAATTTTTAATGAAAAATCAACTATTTGCCTAGAACATTATGTTAAGAGATGTATAGTGTTTTGTTATTTCTGAAGATGTATTTAATTATCCCATAGTAATTATGTATTTTCACATCAATTTATCACCTTTTCCATTTAATCATTATAAATTATGAGTCACAAGTATCATATGTATACAAATTCAGACATGGTTTCCTTAGGGAAATTATATTTGTTATTACTTTATAATGTTTGACATAGACTCATTTCTTATTCATTCAAAGTATTAAAAACTTCAGTCATATATATTTTTAGTCCCCTCCAGCCAGAGACCAACATAATCACATCTGTAGCAAAAGAGAAATGAGATGGAATTAATTAATAAGCATGATCAGAAACCACAATGCCTGCAATGTAAAAGTAGCAGCACCCTTTAAAGGATTTCTTGTTATATTTTGCCTTGTGATAGACAATTTGATTTCCATTTAAGGAAGTGATACATTTTTCTGCATTGAATTCTGAGAGGAAATGAACTTCATTCTATCTTGCATAATGAAAATCATTTTTCTTTAGGAGGCAGAAAAAAATTCTAAACCAAAATTGTAAGAAGCACAAATCACATTAGTGAGAAAAGCAATATTCAGTATTTTTATTCCTTTGAAACCTGTTCTCCTTAATCACGTGTGCAAACATGAATGCCTTTTGTCTTGATTTATTGTGGTCTTGGAGTAGTTTGTGTGATGATGGACATGGGACATTTTCTTTTCAACAAGATATATTTCTTTTCAAAAAGGCAGCAACCAGTTGTTACCTAAATACTGAAATATTTACTAAGCTGTATTGGGCACATTTCCAAAAAGTACCTCAGTTAAGTATACAGTATATATTACATATATCTACACTAATAAAAGAAAAACATTCAAATAGACTGTACTTCCTTGACACCCACAAGCCACATCCACCAGCCAATCAGAAGCAAGTATGCAAATTAACCCAACCAAGATGGTGGTGGCCATGGAGCTGGAGCGAGCAGCAGGGTTGGGTTGCCCTGGTGATGGAAGAAGCCAAGCCTCCCATTCACCCTGGCCTCTGATCAAAGCTACAAAGTTTCAATTATAGAAGATAAATAAATCCCAGATACTTGCTTCCAGCCGGCCCTGATCTCCACTCAAGGAGGTGCTGAAAAAGAAAAGAAAAGAAAAAAATAGAGGGCTGACCAAAACCAGTTTGGCTCAGTGGATAGAGGGTCGGTTTGCGGACTGAAGGGTCCCGGGTTTGATTCTGGTCAAGTGTATGTACCTTGGTTGCAGGCACATCCCCAGTGGGGGGTGTGCAAGAGGCAGCCAATCAATGTTTCTCTCATCGATGTTTCTAACTCTCTATCCCTCTCTCTTCCTCTCTGTAAAAAATCAATAAAATATATTAAGAAAAAAATAGGGGGTTGATCTTGGGACTCCGGGGGTTGATCAGGCCACGTTGGGACCACAAATTGTGGGTCATTAGGCTGTTGGGGGTGGTGCCGTTTGGGGTAAGCACATCAGCAGGGGGCAGGTGGGGGTGAGCAGGCCAGCAGAGGGGGCAGTTGGGGGTGAGCAGGCTGGCAGGAGAGCCAGTTGAGAACAAGCACACTGGCATAGGGGGCAGCTGGGGGTGATCAGGCTGGCGGGGGGGGGGGCAGTTGGGGGCAAGCAGACCGGCAGGAAGAGGGGTTAGGGGCAATTAGGCAGGCAGGAAGGCAGATGAACAGTTAGGAGCCAGCAGTCCTGGATTGTGAGAGGGATGTCTAACTGCCAGTTTAGGCCCGATTCCTGTAAACCAGCAGTAGGACATCCTTCAAGGGGTCCAAGATTGCAGAGGGTGCGGGCCGGACTGAAGAACACTTCCCCTCCCCCCCCCCCCATGAATTTCATGCACTGGGCCACTAGTGTGTGTGTGTGTGTGTGTGTGTGTGTGTGTATAAAATGCAAATTAGCCTGGCATCGCAACCACTCAGGTGGAGCTGCGCATGTAGATGGAGACACATAAGGGGTGAGGGCATGCTCTGAGCAGCCACAGTGCGGCCTGAAGCATGTCCCGGTGGGTGCCTGGCAGCTGCCAGGGCGAAGCAGCCCAGGTCCTGGGTGCCAGAGGGAAGCCGGTGGCAGCAGCCAGGGGAAGTAAGGACTTTTCTTGCATGAATCTTCATGCATCGGGCCTCTAGTATTAATATAAAGTCACATACTTCTTAATAAAATATGTAACTTATTACCTTTTTATGATTCTATTGAGGTTTATAAGTTTAGTAATATTGTCAAAGAACACAAATCTAGCAAGAAAACAAAGTTAGGGTCTCTTCCAAAAATCTGTTCTTGCTGACAGATTTCACTCTTTCCCTCCCACCTTTTAAAAAATGTTGATTTGAGAGACAGAGAGAAGCATCAATCTGTTCTTACATTTGTTTATGCAATCATCGGCTGATTCTTTTTTTTTAATTAATTTTTTTTAAAGAGAGGAAGGGAGAGGGATAGAGAATTAGAAACATCGATGGGACAGAAACATTGATCAACCAAATCCTGCACCTCCCCCACTGGGGATGCCCTTGACCGGAATCAAACCTGGGACCTTTCAGTCTGCAGGCCAATGCTCTATCCACTGGGCCAAACCAGGTAGGGCTACCCCTAACACTTTTGATTTTGAATCTACTTTGGACCCAGCGGCCACCATCCTTTACCCCCTTAAACATCACCTACTGTGGATTCCTGTGAGGAATCTCTGAAAGGTCAGGGGGACCTTGCCAAAGGCAGCATTTCCCGCCTTGACTTTTCCCAACAAATCTGATCCTCTGGATGTTTTCATAGAATCTATGCTTAATCTTTAGGTGCCCTTGCCAAGATTATTTACCCTACTGACTGTATCTAAAAGATAAATTTTATCTCAAACTGCTGTTACAAATAAAGCCTGAAGAGGCAGGCAATCTAGGCTGCCTGTTTCCTTTAGCCAGGCAGTCCCTTAGTCCTCCCTTTCACAGCAATCCTTTGTCACAGCAATCATACCTCTGCCACACTGGGTCTGCTAGTCAGCCCCGGCAGATTTGGGCTTTATTTGTTGTTGTTTTTCAAGTTTCTTTAAGTATTAGATTAGATTTTTTCTTCTTCTAAGGTTAGATTTTTAAAATTGAGATTAACTTATTAGCTTTGCCTATAGAGCTATAAATTGTTCTATTACAGTAGAACTGCTCTGGCTGTGTCCCATAGATTTGGGGTCATTGTGTTCTCATTTTCATTTTCCTTAATGTGTCTTTTGATTTTTTCCCTTGACCTCTTTGTTAACCCTTCATTGGTTAGAGTACTATTTATCCTTCATGTGTTTGTGGTTTTCAGTTTATTTCTTGTAATTGATTTCTACTTTTATCCTATTGTCATTGTTGAACATTCTTGATATGATTTCAAATTTTTTAAATTTATGGAGACTTCTTTTGTGACCCAATAGGTGGTGTGTTCTGGAACATGTTCCATATGCCCATGAAAAGCATATTCTGTTGCTTAGGGGTAAAATGTTGTATGTAAATAAATTAAAATTATGGGATGTAATGTGTCATTAGAGATTGCTGTTTCCCTGTTGATTTTCTGTCTGGGTGACTTACCCATTGATTTCAATGGAATGTAAAGTACCTTATTAATACTGTCTTCCTGTCAATATCTCAATTTATGCCCCCCTCCCCATACTCGCTTTCTATAGTAATTAGGTGCTTCTATGTTAGATGCATAGAGTTTCCAAGGGTTATATTTTTCTTGTTGGATTGATCACTTTACCATTATGAAATGCCATTCTTTGTTTCTTGTTATAACCTTTATTGTAAAATCAATTATATTTGATAAAAGTATTACTGGACCACGTTTACATTCATTTCCAATTGTATAAAATATCTTTCTCCATTTGTTTACTTTTAGGTAGTGTATGTTTCTTTCAATCTCAAGTGGGTCTCCTGTAGATAGCATATATATGGTTTTTAAAAAATCCATTTAGCCATTCTATATCTTTTGATTGTTGCATTCAAAAAATTTACATAGAAAGTAACTATTGATAGGAATGTTGTTATTACCATTTTGTTATTTATATTTTTAATTTTTTCTTTCTTTCTTTCTTTTTTTTTTTTTTTAATGAAGGCCCTTTAACTTTTCTTATAAAACTGGTGTAATGGCACTCAACAGCTTTAGCCTTTTCTTGTTTGGGAAAGTCTTTATCTGCTTTGTTTTTTTAAAGTTCTAAATTATAGTCTCACTGGATAGGGTAATCTTGGTTATAGGTCCTTTTTATCATTACTAGGAATATTACATGCTGGCTCTGGCCAGTGTGGCTAAGTTGGTTGGACATTGTCCTGCACACAAAAAGGTTGCCAGTTTGAGTCCTTGTCAGGGCACATACCCAAATGTCTGAGTAACTTGTTGCTGGTTCCATCTCTGGTCGGGGTGGGTGTGGGCAGCAACCAATTGATTGTTTTCTTTCATATTGATGTCCTCCTCTTACTCCTCACCTCTCTCTCTCTCCCTCCCTCCCTCCCTCCCTCCCTCCCTCCCTCCCTCCCTCCCTTTTTCATCAATAAAAATATTCCAGGCCAAATCCTTCTGGCCTGCAAAGTTGCTATTAAGAATCCAACTGACACTTTTATGGGATTTCTCTTGTATATAACCAGACGGCTTTCTCTTACTGCCTCTAAGATTGTCTTTGTCTTGATCTGAGGCAATTTAATTATGATGTGTCTTAAAATAGGCCTTTGGTTCATCTTGTTTGGGACTGTCTGTACTTTCTGGACTTGTACCTATTTTCTTTTGCCAGATTATGGAAGTTTTGAGTAATTATTATTTTAAAAAGTGTTCCAATTCTTTGCTTCCTTTCTTCTCTTCTGCTATCCCTATGATACAAATATTGTTATGCCTGATGTCATTGCAGAGCTCCCTTAAACTATTTTCATTTTTCAAATATTGATTTGAGAGAAAGAAAGACAACATTGATTTGTTATTTCACTCATCTATGCATTCATTGATTGCCTCTTGCATGTGTCATGACTGGGACTCTTCACCTTCAACCTTGGAATAGCAGGACAACTCTCTAACCAGCTGAGCTATTTGACGAGGGCTGAATGTACATTTTTCTAATAAAGGAACACTTTTCCTAGTTTATAAAAATATTTTATTGCCCTAGCTGGATTGGCTCAGTGGATAGAGAGAGCATCAGCCTCCAGACTGAAGGGTCCTGGGTTCAATTCTGCTCAAGAGCACATGCATGGGTTGTGGACAAAAGAGGCCACATGCTAACCTGACAAGTTCAGAGGAGGCCTGCATGGCAGTCTTGCAAACTCAGAGACCTAAAATAACCACAAAGGATGGTCTGAAATTAAACTTTAACTAAATGCAGTTATGGTGGGTAGTTATATTCTAGGCCGGTATCTTCACTGACAAGGTCAACCTTTACCTTAACTAAGCTTATCTGTCTTTTTGCATCTATAATAACACTAGGGGCCAGGTGCATGAAATTCATGCACTGGGGGAGGGGGGAGTCCTCAGCCCAGACTGCCCCCTCTCACATACTGGGAGCCCTCAAGGGATGTCCTACTGATGGCATAGGCCCGCTCCTCATGGTCCTCCCTTTGTGGGAGACGACCAGGTTGATCAGGGGAAGGCACCAGCCCCATCACCCTGCTGCTGCAGCCACTGCTAGTCACTGCAGCCATCAAGGTATTTTCATCATGGATTCCAGTGCCTTCATCATGAAAAAAATGACAACTTTGTTTAGGCATTTTCAAGATATGTCTTTCGTAGGATATAATCTTTCTTTCTTTCTTTCTTTCTTTCTTTCTTTCTTTCTTTCTTTCTTTCTTTCTTATTTCTTTATTTCTTTATTTCTTTATTTCTTTATTTCTTTATTTCTTTATTTCTTCCTTTGTTTTCCTCACCTCAGGATATGTTTCCATTGATTTTTAGAGAATGTGGAAGAGAAAGGGAAAGACAGAAACATCAAAGTGAGAGGAACACTTTGGTTGCCTCCTGCATGAGCCCTGATCTGGGTCACGGCCAGGGAGGAGCCTGCAATCTAGCTACATGCCCTTGATCAGAATTGAACCCAGACCCTGCAGTCAGCAGGCTGAAGCATTATCCACTGAGCCAAACCAGCTAGGGCAGGATATGACATTTCTTAGCCCTCCAGCAGTGGACCTTCATTTTTTTTCTCCAGGAGTGTAGTGGAAAACCCTAGCCCTAGATCACCTTTTTGGATTCTTATTACCCAAGTTACTAAGAATATTACCGGTGGCATACAGGGGCTTAGCCAGTGAGTGGTCAGAAAAGTTGTTTCCTCTGTAGTCACACCAATCACCGGCTCAGCCCCTGCCCAGGCCTAAAGCCTCAGGGCCTGGGAGGGGCCCCCCAAATCCCTCCGATCACTGGCTCCACCCCCAGCTCCTTCCAATTGCAGGCTCAGCCCCTACCCAGGAGCCCTCTGGCTCAGGCCCTTCCCAGGCTGCTCAGGGCCCACATAGGGCCTACCGTGGAGTAACCTGGGTGCTGAGAATGTTCCCAGGACCCAGGCTGCTGGGCACCTATGTTTATAAAGCAACTGCCATTTTTGTTGGGTTAATTTGCATACTCACTCTGATTGGCTGTGGGCGTTGCAGAGGTGTGGTCAATTTACATGTTTATTAGGTAAGATACTTTTGAAATATCTGGGTAACTTGTGAAATATCAAAATATTGTAACTTGTGATATTTCAAAAAACTTTTGAAATATCTGGGCACCAGGACAGATACCACAAATTCCTTCAAAACGATGTTAATTGTTTCTTCACCCACCTAAGTATGTATCTATCATTTTACTTCTTATCCAATCCCACAGATTTCCCCACTTTGCTTCCTCCAGCCTCTCTAGTCTATCACCAATGGATTTTCTGTAACCCACCTACCTCCCTTTCCTTTGATTGCAATGTATAAATACAGATGTAACCTTCTATTCTCAGGAGCATTATCTCAATTCATTGAGGTTCTCCTTCCCAGCATATGTCGACAGTTTGGCTCAAATAAACTCACAAAAGTTCTTAACAGGTTTCAATGGTTTTTTTTCATTAACAGGTAGTGGTCTCAATCCCTGGTGGGGGGCATGCAGGAGGCAGCTGATCAAAGATTCTCATCATTGATGTCTTCTATCTCTCCCTCTCCCTTCATCTCTGAAATCAATAAAAAATATATTAAATAGGATATCATATTAACTTTTACTAAGCCATAATGCTAACTGCAGAGAGGATATATAAAATATTCCATTCTAATATTTTTTATTTCAGACAATGTATTCTTTATTTCTTGTTGATCCCTTATCATTTCTCATTGATTCCTTATTAATTCTAGTTGATCCCTTTTCATATCCTCATAGGTCTTATTGACA